CAGCGACTCGGGAGGCCGAGGCAGGAGGATCCAAAGTCAGCCTCAGCAACTTTGCAAGATCCTGTCTCAAAATAAAAAAATGAATAGGGCAGAGGAATACGGCTCAGTGGTCGAGTGGCACGAGTGTCCCCGGACCCCCTACCAGACCCCTGCGGGGCCCTCCGCACCCCCACCCCACTGCCTGCCCCCCACAGGGCACACAGGGCTCCGTGAGCTCCTGGGTCACGGGCAGAGAGGACAAGAGAGCCACACGACAGGATTCCCAGGCCCTGGGGCGGCTCCAGACACAGGGCCCCAGACACCAACTTGGAGGGGACACCAGCCCCCGTGACGTGACCTTGGTGAGAAAGCAGTGCCGGAGCATGGTTTGGAGCCGAGGGCCAGCATGGCCGCCAGCGCCCTCTACCCGGGCAGCTGGCCTCCGTTCTCTGACGAGGCAGGTGGCATCATGGTGGCACCCACCTCGTTGGGTGGGGTACGGTGGGGCTGAATGAGATGTCCCCCTCTCGTTCTAAAGACGAGCAGACCAAGGCCCAGAGAGGTTCGTTAACTTGCCCAAAGTTGCACAGCCGAGACAGGGTGAGATCCCAGAGACTTGGGATTGGAAGGGCTCCAAGTCCTATGTGCCTTGCACAGCCTCCACCTGTGTGGTGGATGGGATCCGCTCTTTCCCCAAGTCCCCTCCCAGGGGCACCTTCTTAAATTCTAGGCTGTGCCAGTCCATGAGTCACCCTCCCTCAGCCCTGGCTGGACGGATACCAGGGTCAAACCGCAGATGTCCCCAGCCCATCCCCTCCTCCTCCCTCCCTCCCTCCCTCCCCAGGATCCTAAGAGCCCCCTGAGCTGACCCGACCAGCTAATAAACCCCTCAGGAGTTCAAGATGAAGAAACCAAGGCCCACAGAGAGGTTGGTTAACTTGCCCAAAGTTGCACAGCCGAGAAAGGATCAAACATGCATTCAATGAACCCACCGGGTGCCGGGCATGGCGGAGCACGCCTTTGATCCTAGAGGTGTCTGTGTGGGGGCCGGTTAAGTTTGAGGCCAGCCTGGGCAATTTAGCAAGACCCCATCTTGGAAGTAAAATAAAAAGGTCTTGGGATGTGGCTCCGAGGTAGAGCAGCTCTGGGTTCAACTCCCAGTACCTACCCCTCCCAAAAAATAGGTAGATATCCAGCACAGCTGCCCGGCTCCGGGGTTCAGCCCACCTTGGACAAACTCGGGCCACAGAGAGCCCCTTTCGTCATGGAGCGGGGACTGTCCCAGGGAACGTGCTTCTGAACACCGTCTCCTGTGGGTGCAGCTTCTACACCATCATAAAGTGAAAAAAACCCAAAAAGCCCAACTTGAGCCGCCCTGAGTTCAGGACTCTCTGTACATGACTCGGTGGAGGCTGGTGACGCTGCAGGGGACCTGGGACATCCTGGGAGTCCATCTCCTCCCTGGGCCCAGTGGACCTCCCAGCCTATTTTAACTGGTGATTCACACAGAAAGGGCTCTTGCGCCCCTTCCCAAGGGGACATGGCACCTCTGTGGGGTGCAGTGGGAGGTGACACCCTGATAAACCCACTGCGCACTGAAGAGAGGGTCAGTCGGAAGCACTCCACAGTGCTTTGCCTGGCTGTATAGTATTCCATATAAGAATCCACCTCCCCTGCCCAACAGCACAGCGTAGCAACGTGGCGCATGGCAGAGTGACAGCTGCTTTCCCTCATGATCACGGACCGAGTGGAGAGACAGACCACAAAACCCTAGCCCAGGGAAAAAA